GGGAAACCCCGGGAAACCCCGGAACCCCCGCAGGCCGGCGGAGCGGGCCAGGCCCCGGGGACCAAGCAGGCCGCCGGAGTGCTCCCGTCGCCTCTGGGCTGCCCGCTGGAGAGGTTTCCCAGAGGAGGACGGGGCGAGGGGGAGTTTCCTGGACTAGGGCCATCCCCAGGCAGGGTTACAAGGCCGCAGGGCGTCCCTTCTGGAGACGCTGCAGCCGGCACCGTGGGCCTGGAATTGACCAGGACGCGCTCGACCAGGCCGGGTTCCAGGCGGCCACGAGGGGAGGGGTTGGAGGAAGACCGGGCGGGAAGACTGCGGGAGGTGGGCCAGACAGTGGAACTGGCCGCTTAGTGCCTTGGGTGCTGTCGAGTCCGGGCAGGGCCCTGGAGTCCCAAGCCCCCTAGGTCCCCAGACGTCGTGTCGGGCCCTAGCCGGTCAAAACCTGTCATAGGGGACACGCAACGACGCCTGTCAAACTTTTTTCCCAGTTGAACAGGCACCGGCCACGCCCACTCTCCTGGGCCCACCCCTCGCGCCAAGGCCCCGCCCCGTCCCGGCGTGCGGTGCGCAGCGGCGCCGAGGCTGGCGTGGCTGGGCGGCCATGGGCGGGGCTTCCGGCGCGTCGCAGCGCCTTCCGGCCGAGCGCGAGGGCTCTGCCGGCTTCTGACATGAAGGTGAGCCCCGCGGCCGCCGCGCCTGTTCCTCCTTCTGGCAGGGCCTCAGCCGCCCTGCCGCGAAGTGACTCCTCCCGTGCCAGACGGTTGTGGGGCGCGGGCGACGCGGGCGGGCGTACGGGAGCGCGAGCGCCGGGAGCAGGCGTGTGCGCCGGCGTGGCCGAGTCGGCGGAGCGGGCGTGGAAGGGGAGTGGGGGCGTGGGCGAGTAGGACCGAGGCAGCGACAGCGTGCCGATGGCKGCATGTGAGCGAGCGTGCGACCAGGCGGTCTTGGGCGCGCGGCCGGGCCGGTGGTCCCGGGGCTGGGCGGGCGCGCCGGCTCTCCCCGGGCGCAGACCCGTGCCTTGAACATCGGGGCCGCAGATGTCCATAGCCGAGGCGACGCGCCAGCCCTTGCTTCACAGGTCCCTAGACTGCAGCCCACGGAGGTGAAGGGCAGCAGGCTGGTGACAGAACCGGACCTGAGCCACCTCAGTGTAGTGTTCCCATGGCTCTGGGCCCCAGCACTGGGCAGGGCTGTCCCCCTCGCCCCGGGGTTTCCTCCCGTGTGAACTGTGCTAGCAAGTGTGCCTGTGCTGAGCTGTGGCCTGGCATGCAGCACAAAGTCAATAAATGTCGCGGGGTCGTTATCGTTCTGCCTCTTACACCACTTTCGTTTCCAAGCATAGCATACACTCCGTCCTCACCATAAGAACATGGTTGGCTCCACAATTTGTGCTCAAAAGTGAAAACATGGGGTGGCCCAGTGTTTTTGGCATTGGAGCTGCATTTCTGTTGAGAGTCAACTTGCCCTGGCACCATGATCCAGGCCTGTAATCCCAGAAACTCAGGAGGTTGAGGCTGGAGGATCGTGGCTAGCCTCTATTATTTTGTTTATTTTGATCCTGTCTGAAAATGTAAAAAGGGGTGGGTGGGAATAATGCTCAGTCATAGGGCTCCCCTGAGTTCAATCCCCAGTATCAAAAAGCAAAAAAAAACAAAAAAAAGCAAAGCTGATTTTTACACCATAGGCTGATCTCATGCTGTAGTACCATAAAATCTGAGGAACACTGATCAGCTTCTTTCACTCTGCACATGCACAACTGACATGCACACGTGAGATGCATGCACTAGTGCATTTCTTGCTGTGGGTTGGCATGAAAAGCATTTGAAAATCTCTGTACTTACTTTCTATCAGCCCTCCTGTGACTGTCCTTCCAGTGTCCTGAGGCTCAGAGCCCCAAAATAGTCTATTAAAACAGCAGATTCTGAGACTTGGATTAGTCAGTGTCATAACACACCACACTATGGAAGCCCTTCTGCCCAAAGGAGGGTTTTTAGTGTTTGGGAAAGAAACATGGTTTGATGCAGGAGCACAGTGTGTGAGCAAGGTACAGTGGTACACACCTGTAATCCTAGCAACTAGAGGTTGAGGCAGAAAGATCGTAAGTTTGAGGCCAGCCTTGATAACTTAATGAGATCTTATCTAAAGTATAGAAATAAAAAGGGCTGGGATGTAGCTCAGTAGTAAAGCACCTCTAGGTTCAATCCCCAGTACCAAACAAACAAGCCCTGTGTGGGAGAGCCCAGGAGTCACCAATGTGAAGAGCACAGTGGAGAGTTAGCCCTCATAGGCATCCAAGCCGTGGACAGTGGGGAGCCATGGGAGGTGCAGCAGCCTGGATGTGCCCTCACATGTGCATCACTGCCCCACCGCTGCACTGTGGCAGGTTGCATCCCAGTGTTTCATTCCACAGCCAAGTGACCAGCTACTGGCAGTCAGCGGTAGCACCAGCCCTGGCTTTGTGTTTGGTTTGGTTCTCCCAGTACCCTGGCTGGGTACAGAAGCTGACAGGTCCATCTTCCTCTTCCACAGGTGCATATGAGCTTCACCTGTTCTCTTCCTTCCTTCCTGAAGGTGTGAAATCAAATTGGGTTAAGGATGTGATAAAGGGACCTCTAAGTGGGTGGACAGTGGCCCTGCTGCAGGTTTGCAGGGCTGCAAGAAGAGACGAGACCCAAAGAAATGGTGGTTACCAGGGCACACCATGACGATCACTCGTAATCACTTCCTTGGAGGCCATCCTTTTGCATGATTTCTCCTCAATTTCCTTCTTTCATCATGGAAGGGACTGGGGTAAAAAATGGGTGTTTGGTTACTTGGGAGGCTGAAGCAAGAGGATTGCAAGTTCAAGGCCCATCTGGGCAACTCTAATAAGACACCGGCTCAAAACAAAAAACGGCTGGGGGGATGAGCTCAGAAAGGAAACCGATGGGTTTGATCCCTGTACTCTCCCCTGCAAAAAAGGATACCTGGGAGCTAAGAGAGCTGCAGTCTCAGCCTGGCCAGGCAAACTCTGCCCCAACCCATGGACAGAATTCCCCATGGACAGAATTGTGCAGCAGTGAGAGTGTTAGGGTGAGATAAGGCTGCAAGAGGCTGCTGCCCCTTGATTCTGATTTCTCTTGCTAAAAGGAGGGGTTGGTTCGGTGGGGAGCCAGCGATGGAAGGTGTTCTGGGCCTGGATTTTCTTTTTTTTAAATTATTTATATATGACAGAATACATTAAAATTCATATTACATACATAGAGCACAAATTTTTCATATCTCTGGTTGTATACAAAGTGTATTCACACTAATTTGTGTCTTCATACATGTACTTTGGATAATGATGTCCATCACATTCCACCATCATTTCTAACCCCATGCCCCTTCAATTCCCTCCCACTCCTCCACCCTATCTAGAGGGGGCCTGGATTTTTTTATTTCCTCAGAACTGTGATGGCTCTTATTTATTTATTTGCTTAGGTACTGGGATAGAACTCAGGGGTACTTGACCACTGAGCCACATCCCCAGCCCTATTTTGTATTTAGAGATAGGGTCTCACTGAGTTGCTTAGTGCCTCACTTTTGCTGAGTCTGGCTTTGAAGACATGATCCTCCTGCATCAGCTTCCCAAACTGCTGGGATTACAGGCATGTGCCACTGCACCAAGTATATTTATTCTTTGTTTATTTTTGGCACTGGGGATTGAACCCAGGGGGCTTAACCATTGAACCACATCCCCCACATTTTATTTTTGAGACAGATCTGGTTAAGTTGCTTAGGGCCTCACTGAGTTGCTGAGGCTGGCTTTGAACTTTCAGTCTTCCTGTCTCAGCTTCCAGAGCAGCTGGGATTATAGGCTTCACCACCATACGTACCTGGCTCTGTGATGACTTTTAGAGCAATTGTTGCCTTTCTCCAAGGCCACAAGCACTGCGTGCTGTTCTTTGTACCCTCAGCTTCCCTTCCTAGTTCCTCAGAGCCTGAAGGCCATGGGGTCTCCTTGCCTCCCAGTCTTACCCACGTCCCAGGCAGGTGATGGAATTTGGGTTTCCTCTGCAAATAGCGGGCTGGCTGCAGAATAAAAGCTAAGAGAGAAAACAGAAGAAACCACAGGACACAGGAAGTAATTTTAGAAAGTGGGGATGGGAAGGGTTGGCTCTTGGATCTTATGGATCAAGTTTCCACACTGGAAAGAGAGTGTGCAAGAGAGCCCGCGCTTGCTTTATTTATATAGAGGAAGCATCAAAGGTTTCCTCTGGAATGTTCTTTGACAAATAAGGTAGGAGGTGGGCTGTCCAGTTTCCAGTGAGTTATGCCCAATTCCAGAACTACGAGAGAGAGGGGGCTGGGGATATAGCTCAGTTGGTAGAGTGCTTGTCTCGCATGCATGAGGCCTTGGGTTCAATCTCCAGTGTCACACACAAGTATAAGAGAGCCCAGTTCTCATGCACCACTCAATTCATTGAGTGGGAGGAGCCACAAGATAGTTTACAATGCCAAACCTAAATTTCCCTGGCTCAAGGCTGAGTGAAGACTCAGCGGTGGCCCACATTTCAGGTAGGGAACTTCCCTTCTGTGCTGGGAACATGGTTGTTTTGGGTGACAAAGATGGAAGCTTGTTGCTGCAGTAGGTCTTACCCAGGAGATGATGGCAGGGTAGGAAAATCTGTTCCTCTGCAAAGGGAAGTGAAAAGAGGTCCCTGGCAAGGAGTTCATAGGAACGAGAGGGTGGGCACTGTGGTGGGCTTGGTTCTGGCAGCTCCTGATGGATATTCCCTGTCTGGCCTGGTATTCCTGGAGCTTTCTCATCCTGGGCTTGGGTGTTAGAGGTGCCTGTGGCCTCCAGGGAAGGCTGTGTTCCAACTTGCTGGGCAGTGGGCTAGCGCAGCCTCCAGCTGCTCACCTCCCTTTGCCTGGGCTGTGCGAGCCTCTCGGCTCTTCTGGAGGGTGTGAGACTAGATGGATGAGCTTCTGCATATCCAATGTCTTGAAGCCTATGACAGCTGCCCAACCAGGCTCTACTTGTTGCTCAGTCGCCCTCAGAGTGAAGGCCAGAGGGTTGGGTTGCCTGGAACCTAAAAATGAACTGTACAACTAATAAGAGTTCATTGCAGGGCTGGGGTTGTGGATCAGTGGTAGAGTGCTTGCCTAGCATGTGCAAGGCACTGGGTTAGATTCTCAGCACCACATCGAAAAATAAATAAAATAAAGTCATTATGTCTGACTACAACTAAAAATATTTTTTTTAAAGAGAGAGAATTTTTTAATATTTATTTTTTAGTTCTCGGCGGACACAACATCTTTGTTTGTATGTGGTGCTGAGGATCAAACCCGGGCCGCACGCATGCCAGGCAAGCACGCTACCGCTTGAGCCACATCCCCAGCCCTAAAAATATTTTTTAAAAAAGTCACAAAAGGGCTGGGGATGTGGCTCAAGCGGTAGCGTGCTTGCCTGGCATGCGTGCGGCCCGGGTTTGATCCTCAGCACCACATACAAACAAAGATGTTGTGTCCGCCGAGAACTAAAAAATAAATATTAAAAATTCTCTCTCTCTCTCCTCTCTCACTCTCTCTTTTAAAAAAAATCACAAAATACAGGTAAAGAAATAAAAAAAATGAGCAGCAATTCCTAATTGCCAGCATATTTGCTTTTCAGTGTATGTGCAGTACTGGGGTTTCCACCCAAGGCCTGTGTACAACAGGTAAGTGCTCTCTTTCTGAGCTATGTCCCCAGCCCTTTTTCCTATTTTTACTTTGAGACAGGGTCTCATTAAATTGCCCTGAGGCAACCCTCCTGCCTCAGGCTCCTGAGTTTCTGGGATTACAGGCATGTACCTGTGCACCCAGCTTTTATTCTTGATTTACAAGATTTCTTTGCATATTGTGGATAGGTTATGGGCAGAAACCTTTTAAGCATATTATGAATATGTTTTTGTGACTTATTTGACTCTAAAGTTGCTCTTTTGTTTCCTAAATAAAAGTTGCACCTTTTCTTATTTTTAAAAATTTTTAAAATATCTTTTTAGTTGTAGATGAACAGATACCTTTACTTTTATTTGTTTTTTTTTTTTTAAAGAGAGAGAGGGAGAGAGAATTTTTTTTTTAACATTTATTTATTTATTTTTTCTTAATTCTCGGCGGACACAACATCTTTGTTGGTATGTGGTGCTGCTGAGGATCGAACCCGGGCCGCACGCTTGCTAGGCGAGCGCGCTACCGCTTGAGCCACATCCCYAGCCCCAATTTGTTCTTATTTTTATGTGGTCCTGGGGATCGAACCCAGTGCCTCATGCATGCTAGGCAAGCGCTCTGCCACTGAGCCACAACCCCAGCCCCTCGTTTTATTTTTTGAGATGGGAATTTGTGTTGCCTAGGATGACCTTGAACTCCTGGGCTCAAGTGATCCTTTTGCCTCAGCTTTCCAACTAGCTGGGACCACAGATGCATGCCATCATTCCCAGTTTTTGCTTTTTTTTTTTTTTTTTTTTTTTTTGGTGGGGGGATACTGAGGATTGAACTCAGGGGCACTCAACCACTGAGCCACATCCCCAGCCCTATTTTCTTTTTTATTTAGAGACAGGGTCTCATTGAGTTGCTTAATGCCTCACCTTGCTGAGGCTGGCTTTGAATTCACAGTCCTCCTGTCTCAGCCTCCAAAACCACAGGGATCACAAGCTTGCATCACTGCACCTGGACCATGCCCAGGTTTTAAAGATTTACATAATTGTGTGTGTGTGTGTGTGTGTGTGTGTGTGTGTGTGTACACACCAGGGATTGAAGTCATGGTCACTTGACCACTGAGCCACATCCCTAGTCCTATTGTATTTTATTTAGAGACAGGGTCTCACTGAGTTGCTTCGTGCCTCTCTATTGCTGAAGCTGGCTTTGAACTTGTGATCCTCCTGTCTCAGCCTCCTGAGCTGCTGGGATTATAGGTGTGTGCCACTGCACCTGGCTAAAGATTTACTTTTTTTTTTTTTTTTTTTGAATTTTTTTTTTAGTTGTTGATAGATATTTATTTTTATTTTTTTTACTTATGCGGTGTTGAGAATCAAACCCAGTGCCTCACACATGCCGGGCAAGTGCGCTACTGCTCAGCCCTAGCCCCAGCCCCAATATTTACATTTTTATGTGGTAAACTTTGTGGGTATTCGTATTTTCTCCCAGTACCTTCTGTGGCTCCATTGTTTTATACTTCATTCATAGTGTGACTAGGATTTCTTTGGATCTGAGGGGGGATATGGGGACCAACATTCTATTAGGTGGCTGGTTGTGGCCAGGGCAGCCTTGGGCGATAGGGGAGGGCTCCATGGCCAGTGGGGATGAAGCTGTCTGGGTGTCTGTGAGGAACTTGTGGCCCAGTCAAGGGAGCCGAGAAGTGCTGGGGATTTGACTCAAGCTACCAGGGCTGGCAGAGACTGGGCTCTATCCTGGGGGCCCAGGCTGTACTAGGAATGCTCCCATCAGCAGAGTAACGCCTGGCCTGTGCTCTCCTGGTCATCGTCTTCATGCGTTCTTTCTCTGCAGCCCTCTGGACCCAGAGGTTAGACCCCGTGTGACACACTCACCATGCAGATGCTCCTTCACATCCTCTGGCTTATGCTGGCCTGTGGCTCTGTGCACACTACCCTGTCAAAGTCAGATGCCAAAAAAGCTGCTTCAAAGACACTGTTGGAGAAGGTAGGAATAACCTGGGAACTTGAGGTGACCGTACTGGCCAATGGCTGACCCTTCACACTCCTGTCTCTCCTGTTTGGGGGAATCAGGACTCTGTGAATCAGGACTCTGCAGGGGCATGGTTGCTCATGTGGCCATCTGACCAGCCAGCAGTAGACAGGTGGGTGGGATGCTAGGCAGGAGGCTTGTGTGTTTCTAGGACTTTACTGGCTAAGGCTCTGAGTATGCCACCTCTGGAGCCAGGTTCTGAGGTGCCAGGCTTTGTCTTGTGTCTCACCCTGCCCATTCAGGGCCTGTCTCCTATGAGTTTCCATCTTTCTTCTGCACTCCTGTCTCACCGTGGTTATTCTTTCTCATATTGATGCCCTTAAGCTGCATTGTATTGGGGATGTTGTGCTGTTCTTCTGGGATGGTCCCGGGAATTATAAACTCAAAGATAGGTCCCCATCTAGCCTATCCCTCAGTCCCAGAAGCTCCTGCAGTCCCCATGCCTCTGGCCAGACTGCAGTTACAGGGTCATTCCTGTATGGAATGATGATGGGGGTGATGTTGTGAGCTGGGCCCTAGAGTGTGGACTGAGCAGGCAAGTCGAGAACTTGTAAAAGAACTTTGACAGGGGGCTGCGTTGTGGCTCAGTGACAAAGTGCTTGCCTTGCACATGTGGTGCCCTGGGTTCGATCCTGAGCACCACATAAAAATAAATAAAAACAAAATAAAGGGGCTGGGGTTGTGGCTCAGCAGTAGAGTGCTCACCTAGCACATGCGAAGCCCTGGGTTCGATCCTCAGCACCACATTAAAGTAAATAAATATATTGTGTCCAACCCAAAAATAAATATTAAAAAAATAAAATAAAGATATTGTGTTTATCTATAACTAAAAAAATTTTTTAAAAAAGAAGAACTTCTAGAAGCAGAGGAGGGGAAAAAGTGTGGCCACAAGGTAGGAGAAGACCTGTGTTGGGAGCACAAAGTTGGTCAGTGAGGTGGCATGTGCCTGGCATGTCCTCAATATATATGGCCCTGTGCCCAGGTGAGTCTCAGGTCCCAAGTGGGTACTGACTATCCATCATCATGTGGATGGAGGCACCCTAGCTTCCTGTCTGCTCTTCAGTCCCCAGCAAGGGACAGCCCCTGACAGCCAGCACATCTTCTCTAAAGGCCAGAGCCCTTCTGGCCTGAGTTGTCCACTGGCCTGGGCCCTCTACCTGTAGGGTCTCCAGGTCAACAAGTCACATTGGTCCAGAGACAGTCCATGGCTAAACAGGATGGGCTTGCTGTTGCTTGGGAGGCTACATTACACGCAGGACAGTGAGTGATGGCTTCCTCCCCTTCCTTTCCTTTCAGACTCAGTTTGCAGATAAGCCTGTCCAAGATCGGGGTCTGGTGGTGACGGACCTCAAAGCTGAGGTCGTAGTTCTTGAGCATCGCAGCTACTGCTCGGCGAGGGCCCGGGAGCGAAACTTTGCTGGAGACGTTCTAGGTTATGTCACTCCGGTAAGTTGGGTTCTCATGGTGCACCGGGAGGCCCTGAGGTGCAGATGGGCTGCCCCATCCTCCATGGCAGGCAGACCTCCTGCTCTCTTCTCCCAGGTGTCAGGGCTGTGAGGCAAAGTGGGAGAGATGCCAACCTGGAGATGGCAGAGTGAAGGGTGCTGGGAATTTCTTGGGGGCTTGCACCTCCTGATTGCAAGTGACTCTGGTCAGTGCTCCCTGGCTGTCTGGCCCCAGCTGCCAGCCTGCAGAAGCTCGGGTGTATGGGGCTGGTAAGGACGAGCAGCAGTCACCATGGTAAAGGAGCTGTTGCCAGGGTGCCAGGCTATGGGCATCAGTCCCGACAACTCCGCGGAGTGCTGGGCCCCACCATCACCACAGGCAGGGTTGATGTGGGCCCTAGGCATGACCTGAGCAGCCAGAAACAGAATCACACAAGGCAGGTGTGCACTCATCTGTCCTCTGCCTGCTGTCCCCCCTCTCTACCAGTGGAACAGCCATGGGTATGACATCGCCAAGGTCTTTGGGAGCAAGTTCACGCATATCTCACCAGTCTGGCTACAGCTGAAGAGACGCGGCCGTGAGATGTTTGAGGTTACAGGCCTCCACGACGTGGACCAAGGTTTTCACACTGCCTGCTTGCCTGTGCTTATCCCAGGGATGAGGAGAGTGAGAATGTGTCTCTGTGTGATTGTAAGTGGGCACGCATGACTCGTGAGAATGTGTGACTGGGTGTGTGTGCCATGAATGTTGAGACTGTCAGCATGAGTGTGCATATAAGTGTGTGGGAGTGAGTTTGCTGAGCCCAGAGTGCAGTTCTATGGTGTGGGCTGGTATGCAGAGTTGGGCAGAATGGGCCAGGAGGAGGTGGTCACCATTGTGTGACCCTCTGTATCACTGGTCAGTGCCTCAGAGCAGACCCAGCACTGCCTCAGTGTTCTGGGGATGGTGGGGCAGGACTTCCCTTGCACATCTGAGTGGCACGTGAGCATGTGCCAGGTGGGCTGCAGGACAACTAAGGTAGCTGCTGGGATGTGAAGGGTGCAGGCCATTGGTTCCTTTGCTCTGTCTCTCCCTTGGTGGTTTCTAGCTGGTGTCCAGGGATTCCCATTGGGTTTTGGCTGCCTTTGATTCATGGAAACAGCCCTAATGTTCCCAGGCCCTTGGAATGGCCTAAGGTAGGGCCACCTGTTCCCTTGGCTCAAAGCCATCTCTGTTCAGGAAGAATAAGTTCAAGACTGCTCTGCAGGGGCAGGAGAGGCTGGGTTGGAAGCTGGGGCCATCAGGAGGAGGTGAGACTAGAGGAGGAGGGTGATGCAGGGTGACCCCTGGACCTGGGAAGAGCTAGTTCAAGTGGACTGGATCTCCTGGCCCTGTGCTTACTGTCCCATCCGGTCCTACAGGATGGATGCGAGCTGTCAGGAAGCATGCCAAGGGCCTACACATAGGTGAGTCCAGCAGGCCTGGAGGTGAGTGTTCAGGAACCATATCCATGTCACATCATGGTGGAGGGGATTCTGTGGACCCAGTTCACTGCACTGTGTGAGTGTAGGCCGCTCCTCCTGCTCTGAGTCCAGCACAGCCTGGCATTCATGGCCCATGATCCAGCCCAAGTCCTGGGCTCTCCTGCCCACTGGGCCATAGCCCACCAAGGCCAGTGCTTCCTTGGCAGTGGCTTTGCCCCTTCTCCCTCCCATTTCTTCCTTCCTTCTCCGTCCAGCATTGAGTCTCTGAGGGCAACACTGGCTCTGCTCCACCGGAGCTCCTGTAGCTCGCAGCTGGTGAGGGAGCACCACATGTTCCAGTGAGCAGCAGGTGCCCGGGGGCAGCCAGTATGAGTGTGGGGCTTGGGCTGAGGGGAGACTCTACTGGAAGGCTCAGGAGCAGCAACAGGGCTGAGCTGAAGGAGTGTGGGGGTCTTGGCTGGGACTGGGAGGTGGGCAGGACACAGGGGCCTGTGCAGGGCCAGGAGGGGACCTGTACTCAGGGCCAGTGGGAGCCATCAGGATAGATTGAAGTTGGAGACAGCTATGGACAGACCAGCCAGGAGCCAGAAAGCTGAAGTCTGTCCAGCTACCTTTCCTGGAAAGCAGGCCCCTAGGGGAGTTGGTGAGGGAGGAGGACTGGCAGCATCACCTGCTCCTTCCCTGATGTGACCCACCGTTGCCAGCCTACATGGGTGTGGGATGTCCATGCTGGAGCTGTGTCTGTCTTGGATGGCTTCCCCTCCCATCACTGAGTTTTGATTCTGCTCTGGGGCCCAAGAAGACGCCTTATTGGGGACAAAAAGCAGAGGAGTGTAATTCATTGTTTCCTGGTCACCACCTCTGTGTGTGTCTCCCATCAGCGCCTCGGCTTCTGTTTGAGGGCTGGACTTACGATGACTTCCGCAACGTCCTAGACAATGAAGATGAAATAGAAGAGCTCAGCAAGACTGTGGTCCAGGTGGCAAAGGTGAGACCTGTATGCTGTCCTCACAGGCCACCAGGCCTCACCCCCAGAAGGCCCTGCCTCTCCCCGCCTCTCCTTGCCTCCTCAGATGGTCTCTTTCTCTCAGAGAAGGCTGTGCCTCCCAAACCCACCCCACCTCTCAGATCAGCTCCTGCCTCCCACACCAGCTGYTGTGTCTTCCTGGCCTTTCCTTCTGATGGGACTCCCACAGGGCCTCCACTGGGCTCCTCTTGCTTGGATTTCTTCTTAAGCACCTTCTAGTGCAACCCAGGTCTTCTAGGCAAGACAGTGTCAGCCCACTCCAGAACATCCCATGCTCCCTCTTGACCACAGGGATCCTCTGGGGGTCCCAGGGTGGGAGACTTGTCTTCAGGGCCAGGAAGCTTCCTTTGGTCAGAGCCTGAGTCCCTTGGAGGGAGCCCATCTCCACTGGCTGCTTGTATGCTCTGGTGCAGGGACAGAAGATCCTGGATAAACAGAATGCAGGGTGCCAAGTCCTGCTTCTGACTCCTGTAGGGGGTCCCCCTCCTGCCCCCTTCAGAGGGATTCCTGGGTGTGCAGTTAAGCCTTGGACCTTGCCTCATGGGTGACTAGGTTGTAACTCTGCTGTTGGATAAGGTGGGAGTTCTGTCTGTCTTTTCACCTGTCCCTCTTGGGTCTCTCTCCTCATTGGATCTGTTTCTTTCAGAACCAGCATTTTGATGGCTTTGTGGTGGAGGTGTGGAGCCAGCTGCTGAGCCAGAAGCATGTGTGAGTTTGGGGCAGCAGGTGGCTGCTTGGACCTCAAGTGTTTGCTGGAGCCAGAGGGAGGACCGAGGGAGAGGAGGAGCTTTTGGGAGGGCCTTCCTCCTGCGTTCCTATGTCTGAGGTGGAGAGGAGGCCCTGTGAGAGGTGGAGAAGCCAGAAATGGCCCCAGGACAGGAGACCTATCCTGACCACATTGCAGTGCCAGCCAGGAGGCCCCTCATGTGTGGTAAAGGGCACAGAGGACCTTCACTCACAGGGACTCTGTGAGTAGAATGGCCAGGACAGTGTGACAGGTCTCACTAGACACAAGCAGAGGCTTGCTCAGTGAGTAGGAAGGAACTTCCTGGGATGTGAAAAGAGACTAGCCAAGCACATGTGGGACTTCGAGGTGTGATGGCCCTGGTGTCCTTTGGGCTCTTCAGTGTGCCACGAGGAGGGAGCCACACAGTACCCTCATAGATCTGTGGGGGTTTGCCTTACTTTGTTTCTGTTTCAGTGCATTAAGTAGGCAGTAAGACGTGGCCTCATAGTGTCCCTGGGGCTCATTAATACTGGAGCAGGAGGGCTGTGGGGAGAGCTGTAGAGCCCAGCCAAGTGAGAGACTGCAGCAGGGGAGGCAGAGGTAGGAATAGCCTGCCCTTGTACCCAGGGAGTGGAGGGCAGCTGTCCTCAGGGGATGTCAGGGCCATGGTGTGGGCAGTGATCAGGCTCCTGAGCAGCAAAGACCAGTTGGTCCAACCATGTTGGGCATTGAGCTGCYTCCAGGACAGCTGCCTCCCAGGACAAACCTGACTGAGCTGAGACAGGAATATTTACATGGGTCTCCTTCCACCCACCCCCACCCCCCCAGCATCTAGTCTGAATTCGATGTGTCAGGTTGGCTTGGCAAGACTGTGATTAACCTGGCAATACCGTGGTTGGCAGACTTGGGCAGGCATGTGGCACTTGCTTTTGGCCCAGTATGCAGGCCCGTGGTATGGGCTGGTATGCTGGTGGGGTCTAGTGTCTGTAACACATGGGCTTGGGGTGCCAGCCTCTTGATAGCAGCTCTCCCAGGGGCCAGAGAGGTTATCTGGGAGCCATCTGAAACAGCTATGAGAACTCCTCTTCAGAGCACCATCTGGCTGGAGTGACTGTCCCTGGGCAGAGACTGCTGGGCATGGCAGGAAGAGCTGAGCGGGCAGCTCTGCCAGGGTTCCCAGGCCTTTCTCCCCATGAAACCTGAAGCAGTTTGAACTACTGCAGCGTGTGACCTTAGTCTGCCCTGGCCAAAAGTCTCAACTTGGTTCATAGTAATGCACTCCTGGTCACATCCCAGCAGACTCAATGGGCCTGTGGTAGTCCCTCCTCAAGGTCTGGAAAGCTTTGTGGCAAGTGTACACAAGTCACTGAGGGTCGTAGGTGTTATGGTGAACTTTGGAGGTAGCAGATCTGGGGATGTCAGCCCTGTAGCTAATGGGCAGTAAGACGTGGCCTCATAGTGTCCCTGGGAGAGGCCAGTTCCTTGGTAAGATGGAGATGAGACTGCCAGACAGGTACCGGTTTGCCCTGCCGGCCCCCACTTGGAGCTGTCTCCCACATGCCAGACCCGAGTCTGGGCTCGGTAGGTTCTCTTGTGTGCTGTTGCTAGCACGGGCTCAGAGGCTATCTAGCCTGCAGGGTCTGTTGGTAAAGCTCTCAGCAGAGAGTTGCTGCTGCCAGTCCCACCCAGGGTGGCTGCAGTGTGGGCCCCTGGGAGCCGCCGTTGCTGGCAGATAGGGATGAGCTTACACCTGTCCCACAAAGTCAGCTTCAGGCTACGCCCTTGTGGATGCATGTCCAGACTCCTTGGGCCCCTTAGAGAGTGGCCTTGGCCACCTTTTTGGCCCTCAAGTCTCGTATGTCATGGGGATCAGAACCCATAGCCTTTGGGGCTAGTAGGAGGCCCTCTCCAAGTAGGGTTGGTTTCCTGAAGCCCCGGGCCTCTGGTGTTTCAGGGGCCTGAGCAGTGTCCTCCTTGTCCATGACCTTTAAGTGATTAGTGGGTAATAGCCACTGGTGCACTGACTAGTTCTGGATGCAAAAGTGGGAGGACAGGTTGTCCCAAGACTTTGTCCCTCCTGGTCTGTACTTGGGTTGCCACCTGCAAAGCTAGCACTGGGCCAAGAGAGGAAGGCTGTCTGGCCTTAGCTTCCTTGTGACCACAGAGTTCTCACACTGGCATCACTGGCACTCAGTTTGAAAGGTGACAGCCTCGATGGGGCAACATCAGGGAGACTGAGAAGCCACCACCATCCCACAGCCAGTTGCTGAGAGGACCCGGCCTTCCACACTCTTCAGAGACAGACTTCCATTCCCATGGCCAGTGGAAGCCATGGCCTTATGCTTGGTGCCCATCAAGGTGGGACTTGCAGTCTACTGTCCATACAGGGCTGCTCCTGAAGGGCCTGGAGTAGAAGAGTGAGGGCCTTGTGTCCAGGGAGAGTGGGCCCAGAGTAGACACATCAATATTGGAACAGCAGCATGAGGGCAGCTCCTATGAGCAGAGACTCCACCCCCGCTAGTGTTAGGTGCMCTGTGGGCTGTCCACCCACTGCCCATGTGGGTCGAGAGTTACAGGGTGGGTCCTCTCAGCTTGTATGGGGAGAGAGGTCAATAGTTGTCCTTGGGCACACCACCCCACTTGCCCTCTGGTCCCCTCATCTGGTGGCCCCAGCATGCCTGATGACCTGCCCCATTTTGAAGCTCCACTTGTGTGGCCCTCAGACTGTCCTGTGGTGTTTCACAGCCTGAGGCTTATAGTGCCACTCAGTGTATTGGTGCCCTCGGGCCCTGGAGCATGATATAGGCCTGTGAGCTGTTTCATCTGGGCCCCTCTCTTGTGAGCACCCACTGGGGTGCTCTTGAGACTCCAGCTGGAGGGCCCTGGGTATGAGGAAGGACAGGGGTCTTTTGGGTAATGGATAAGGACAGGTTGGGGTGTGAGCCCCTTCTTCCCTAGCCCTCTCCACAGATCCACATGCGCCATTTTCTGTATGGTGCTGTACCCAGGGTGGGGTGAGAAGGCCCGATGGAGGGCCTCAGGCTGGGACCACTGGGAGCCTGCAGTGCTTGGAGCCGACTGCCTCTTGTTCTTGCAGGGGCCTCATCCACATGCTTACCCACCTGGCTGAGGCACTGCATCAGGCCCGGCTGCTGACCATCTTGGTCATTCCACCTGCCGTCACCCCTGGGTAAGTGCAGTTCTCTTGAGGGGTTGGGGGAGCAAACATGGGCATCAGTCAAGGGCCCAGGCCTCTGGTCAACAGGAGCTATGCCTGCCCCTTTGGTGTGGGTCCTGGGCAGGGAGGGGAGGGGAGGACTCTTCTCASCTTAGGCAAGTGCTTTATCTCTGAGTATGCCCTTGGCCCTTTTGCAGGGGTCCTGGAGATGGAACCTAGGGGCGCTCTACCACTGAGCACTGATCTGCATCTCCAGGTTTTGTTTGTTTGTTGTTATTCTTTTTTAGTTGTAGGTGACACGATATCTTTTTTTTAATTTATTTTTATGTGGTGCCGAGGATTGAACCCATGCATGCTAGGCAAGCGCTATACCACTGAGCCACAATCCAAGCCCCCAGGTTTTGTTTTTCACTTTGAGACAGTCTCACCAAGTTGCTGAGGCTGACCTTAAACTTGTGATCCTCCTGCCCCAGCTTCCTGAGTCCCTGGTGTTACAAGTGTGTACCACCATGCTCAGCTGAGAACTAATGTTTTTTAAACTTATTTTTCCTTCATTCTCAAAGAGGCCCTGAGGCCCAGGTGCTTGGTGCTTTAGGTGAATCTGTGTGAGCTGTGTTCCATGAGAAGTTAGGCCAAGTGGACAGGGCTGTGCAGTCGTATCTACACCAAGATGCCACTGGCTGGGGCTGGCCCTCTCCCAAGCTGTATGAGGCAGGGAGTAGTAAGGAGTGACCCAGACAGTACTACAAGAGCCAGGGAAGTTGGAATCTCATGTCCACTCTGCCAGAAGCATTTCACATAGGAATGTGGTGTTCAGCGTGGAAAGTGAGCTCATGGGACACAGAGAAGGCTGAATCACAATGAGAGAACAGAACTGGGGGCTGAGTAGGCAGGAAGAGTGGGGAGCGAAGGGTGCCTCAGAGCCATGCGGGTGGGAGTCCTGGGGGTCTGCCCAGGGCCCTGGGGATTTTCCAGGGGGCAGCCCTGTGCACGTGGCCCTCGGACGAATGCTGGCTCACAGCTGCTACTTTGGGAAGAAGCTGCTGCCATCTCACATCTCTGCATCCTTCCACTCTCTAGGGTGGCAGCCTCTCTCAGTGGGATGTGCTTGAACGTGCCTCGAGGGCCTGAGGTGATGCTGGCAGGCTGCAGAGTCACACAGAAGGGCTGACTTGGCTCTCACAGAGCCTTCAGTGTGCTCCACAGCCAGGACAGATGCCATCACCACTGCAAGTGCTGGGGTGGTTTCCTGCCCAGCTGAGGGCCCTTTGCTTGGCCTGGGTGTCAGCCTCCTTCCTGACCTTTTTTCCCAAACTTTCTGGCCCTCAATCTGAGTTGGGTGCAGCTTCAGGCTTTGTAGAATGGTCTCAGGCCTGTGTCCTAGAATCTTACTCAGGGCCCAGTAGGCCAGCTGCCCTAGGAGGGTAGTCAAGGGAAGTGGAGGGCCTGAGGGTTGCCTGTGTCTCTTCACGTGTTTGCAGGTGGTGCATCCATGCGTCTGGCACACATGGGTGTAGTGGGGCTCTTGTGTTCTTTTGGTCTTTGCTTTTTACTCAGTGCGGGTGCAGTTCCCGATGCTTGTTGCTGAACAGTGGAGGGTCCTGCCCCAGACTGAACCCTGAGCCTTTCCTATCTGGTGCCTATGGCACCCTGAGACCTTGACTCTGTCTTCCACCTCACTGTGCCCGTTGAGCTAATCCATGAGACCATGGGCAGTAAGGTGACAGGCTTTGCCTCAACGGTTCCTAGGCTGGGCCTGTATTACAGCCCAGCGTCGCCACCCATGCCAGTGAGGGGCCCATGTCTGGGGCTTGGGATCTTGCTCTTGTCTGCAGCTTGATCTGTGTCACTTCCTATGCTGAGTCTATGTCTTTGAAGAGATGCACCTCGAATGTGTGACCCACGATTTCAGGGTTTCCCTAGGGGTGGCAAGGATGAGGCTGTGAGGACCCATCTTGCAGACCTAGGGATAGAAGAGGAGACTGGGGGCTGCAGACACTCCCAGGGGGTTGCTCAGAGTCCCCTGGTGATGGGTGACTGGGTGTGGCTGGGGTGCCACAGCCAGGTGGAGACCAGGTTGTCCTTGGTGGCTAGAGGGTCACCCATGAGAGGACACAAGAGCAACCTTTGGTGGGACACTGCCCTCTAAAGTCAGAGTGGAAATGGCTTCCCAGGGGCGCCTTCTCTGCCCCAGCATCGTCACCCAAGTTCCCAGCCTTGGGCAGGGAGTGTAGAATGGGAGCTGAGGCCTGCTGTCGTCCCTCACTCTCAATGACCAAGGCACACAGCTCCTTCATATGGCTGCGTGGGGAGGGGACCTGTAACCAGAGGGAGAGAGAACCACGGGCAGTGGCTGAGAGGGGCGCCAAAACCTGTGGGTAGGTGGCTCAGGAAAAGCAGGACCCCAAGCCCAGCAGAGGCCTGGGAGCTGCTGGTATGGAACTTGCCCGGGTGCACGTGGGGCTATGAGGCTTTCCTCATAAAGCTGGCTGTCGCGATCCCTGGGGGAGTTTATTTATTGCCCCCATGTGTCCTCCCCTCCCCCTTGCTGAAGAGCTGTCACTGCAGTCAATGCTTTTGCCTTGCGTCTTTCTGCAGATGGACATCAGCTCCTCAGGTCCTTCACAGGCTATGCTGGGTGGGACACAGCTCTAGGAGGGAAGTCTGATGCAGCTGTGGGGAGAGGCGGCTCCCTTTCACCAAATACAGAGAAGGCAGGTTGGACTCAGAGCTGCCGGGGAGAGTCCTACTGGGGCTGCCACAGCACTGTAGACCTCCAGGGTCTATTCCTGGACCTGGGAAGCTGCTGGCAAAGGTGCTGTGCTGACCTTGAGCCCTGCCACCAAGGCAATGTGGTCAGCCTCCACAGATGACCTGGTTTAACCATATCCCCCCATCTGCAGGGACAGGAGGATACCATCCCCCACAGGGTCTGAGTTAGTCTCCAGCTAGTTCTACATGTTTTAGGGTTTTGTTAGGATTGTGACCCCTCAGCTCAGGGTGCTGGTCACAGACCAGAGGTTGGTTTCCTTCCCCACATTGTTGGTGTGCCCATTCAGGAAGGTGTGCTGTAGGCTATGACCCCCTGAAGTGGAGGATGCTCCCGGCTGGATCCTGCATCCTGCCTTGTCTCTCCAACCCCCGACCATGGTTTGGTGTTGGTCCAGTGGTGGAGGGAGGGTGATGGGTGGGTGAGGTCCTTCACCTGGGGATGCTGTTGCTGGACCCCTAAGCTGCCCTGTGCAGAAGCCCCTGGTTTCCTGCAGCCTAGGAGGCAGGGCAAGCAGTGGGTTTTGACATGTATTGAGGCCTCTGTGAGGGCTGGTGGGCACCAGATAGAGTCATGCCAGGAATTGGGCTGGCTAAGTGAGGACCCAAGCAAGAAAGCAGGACCTGCTGTGCCGGAGGGTAGAGCAGCTGTGGCCAGCGTTGTCACCTCAGATTCCACAGGCAGCTGAAGCCTGCAACCCTTATCAGCAACAGGGTAACATCTGCATAAGAGGTGGTAACAGATGCTCCAACAGTGGTGAGACAGTAAGGAGGACCCACAGACTGCAGAGTGTGCACGGGCACATGCAAGGAGTCCATGGGCAGGTGGAGGTGCTTAACTTTTCATGAAGCCCTGGGGAGACTACTGCTCACACCTAGCAAGGCACCATGTATCTTGGGCACGTGGCACAGGCCAGGCAGACTCTAGGGTTCATACCCCCAAGGTAGGGCTGAGCAGAGTCTGGCACACATGGAGGTGGTCCTCAGCCACTCGCTGTCTGGTGGCCCCATTGCAGCACATGCACAGATGCACAGAGCCTTTGTGGCTGTGACACTCTTCTCAGAAAGGAGACCTGGCATATAGGGCTGTGGCAGGTTCCCAGGGACCTGTGCAGCCAAAGCCCTCTGACAGTCACCCGACATTTGTCTCCACTTGGCCACCACAGCAAAGCACCACAGACAGGGACCCATTCGACCAGACGTTCATGGTCTCAGTTCCAGAAGTTGGAAGTCAGATCAGGGTGCCAGCAGGGCTGTGCTCTGGGGGGGCCTCTCCCTGAGTGTGGATGGCACCTTCTTGAGTCTCTTCGGATGGCACCCTTCATAGCGCCGCCATCAGTGCCACCCTGAGGCCCCATCTCCAAATGCTGTCCTGTTGAGGATGTGGGGTCACAGATGCCTGGCCAGTGGCGATTCTGTCAGCTCACATTAAAGAAAGGCCTCCATGTGTGGAAGGGGAGTCCTTCTGGCCAGGAGGGATCTGGCAGTGGCTGCCCCAGTTCTCTACAGGCCCTGCCCCACACAGCTCCAGGCCTACACCCACCACACCTGGCGGACAGAAGGTCTTCTTAGTCCCTGAGGCTAGTGCCCATGGCCTCATAGTCCCTGAGGCCGGTTGGTAGTGGTAGCAGTGAGAAGTAGGCTCCAGAGCTGCTCTGCTTGTGTACCAGCCCCTAGAGGGAGGGGTCCTGGCTTCTGCCAGCTGTATCCCTCCCCTACAGCCTTGGCTGTGAGCTGCTGCTTCTAGGAGCAGAGCTGGACTCAGCAGAAAATGTGGCTACCCGAGGCTGGGGGCAACATGCTGCCCAGAGGGCCAGACCACAGTGGCCACCTTAGGCCACAAGACAGGGACAGCTTTTCCTACTTGAAGACACCTTCCATCTCTGGTCCTGGTTTGACATGTCTGAGGAAAGGCAACTTCCACAGGGTCACATATACTCCCCCAACCCACCCGCTCCCAGCTGGACTTGCTCCCCCCTGGGGCAGGGCCTCTTGACTGGCTCTCCATTCTCAGGGCTTCAGGGCTCCTCACACTTTTGACCTTAGCTTCTATGTCTCCCCACCCCAAGCCATGTTCTGGTGACCTAGTTGAGGGCAGCTGCTGTGGCAGCCTTGTCCTAGAAGGTGTAAGCTGGAAGTTCAGCTGGCAGTGGACACAAGATGCTGGAAACTAGAACCCCTGGGTGTCCTACCCAAGGCAGCCTCCCAGTGCCCAGCTTGGCAGGCAGCAGTCCTAGACCAAGGCAGGGAGGGCTCAGCAGATACACAGCCTCTCAGGTGTCACTCCTGCTACTTCACATCCCTCGCTAGTTGGTCCCTATGGGCAGCAGAGGCCTCTGTGAGGCTGGCCTGACCCACCCATGCCCACCAGTGGAATTGCCCTGGCCCCAGGCAGGAGCGCATGCTCCAGACCTTTCAGGGCAAGCCTGGCYGGCTACTGCAGGTGGGTATGTGAGTGGGATCAGGGTGCAGGCCCCCAACCCAGAAAGCTTGCTTGATGCCTGGGCCCCACCAGGGTCTTCTGGAGGCCAGAGAAGGGGCAGGGCCAGAGTTTGCCTAGAGGGCAGCAGTACCTGGCCTAGCTGCACTAGCCATTCTCCTCTGCAGCCCTGTGGGCTTCTAGCCTGGGGGTGCAGGCTGCCTTCAGCCTGACCATACCAGGGCAGGGATTCATCTGGGACCCTCCAGGCAGAATTTGTGCCACATCCCTTGGTTAGGCTTAAACACCACAGCAGCTTCATTCTCCCATCCGAAGGGGCCTGCTTGTCTCCATTATGGACGCTCAGGGCATGGGTAACACTGCTGTACAGCTGCAGAGACCCCTATGTTCTCTCCTAGCATTGCAGGGGCTATTGCAGAACCCTGTGTGGGGTTTTGTAGGGTGTAGCTTCTCTGCCCACAGCCTTGCAGTGCCTGGTAGCTCCTGCCTGCCCACATGGCTCTCACTGCACCTCACTTAGCCTCTAGCTTCCTGCAGTCTCTCATGGATAGCTCCACCCCTGATGCCCCAAGGGCTTGGGCAGGATTCAGGGACTAGGCTCCAAGCAACCAGCCAGGCCACAGGTGTGTTGGCCATGGGCACTCACTGAGGGCCTGCAGGCTCCCAGGATTCCCCAGTTTGAGGATGCCTCTCTTTCTGTCAAAGAAAAGGACAGATAAGAACGAAAACCCTGTACGAAACACCCCATCTCGGTCCACCCCAGCACTAACACGTGGCATTAGCATGCTGGCTTAAGATCTGTCTTTTTCCAAAAGTAAGGAAGTTTTAAAGAGAAGCCGAGGCTCTGTCCTTCCCTCCCCTGCAGTGCGCTGGCTGCCATGGGACTGCACCGTCAGCCTTGGGTGTCAGCATTCGCTCTTCCCATCCTCTCCCCAGTTCACATGCCTTAGTGTGGAGTGGCTGTAGGCTATGGCTTGCCACCACTGGGTTGTCACTGGGCCAGGCAGGAGAGGCGGCCCCAGAAGACACTGGTTGTGGTGAACTAGGTCAGGAAGGAGCCAGTGCCTGAGGGAGGTGCTGCTTTCCAGAGATGAGAGAGGGCCAGAAGGGCAGAATGGATGGATGGGTGGTCTGATACCAGCCCTCAGGAGGCAGAGGCGCCTCCACCGGCACCTAGGCCACTTGTGCCTTGTCTACACAGCATTTGGGCCCAGCTGGCCACCTGCTCAGGCACCCCCTCCTGAGCTAGGCTGGACATAATCCCACAGGGCCTTGCCCTCTCCTGCAAGCCAGGCATTTGTGCCTCCTGTTTCCCTGCTGAGGTCCAGTGAGGGCCTTGGCAGCTGGGCAGCTCCAGATGGCTTGGTGCAGAGCTGGGGGTGGGCGGTGCTCCTGTTGCCCTGTCTTGGGTGGTCCCAGCCCTCTGCAGTAGTGCTTAGCTCAGTTTGTCCCTCTGTGAGGTCTGTGTTCCAGGATTCCTGCTGTTCCTACTCCACATCCATTGTTCTCAGCTCCATCATGTCCTCAGTGGTATCTGGGTCATCCCTCATCCATTGTCCCTTGCTGTGGTCTGCATGTCCATCTCATGAGTCACAATATCCCTGGTAAGGCAGGAGGTATCCCAGAGCAGGGACATAGCCACTGCTGCCCTTCCTCTGTCCATCCACCTGAGCTCTGGGCTTCTCAGAAGCAATGTGAAGGGCAGAAGGAATCTCCCAAGATACTGTCCCCTACTCCTCGGCTCTTACTAGAGTGTCACTTCCAAGGAATAACCAGCCAGTAAAAATATGCCCTATGTGCCCAAGCAGGTGAACAAAAGGGCCCTGTGTGAGGCAAGCAGGGCCCGGGGGGGCAGCTGGGCCTCCCTCCCTGTGTCCCTGTTCAGTGCAGCTGGCCTGGGCTCTGGCTGTCAGCCAGGCTTCTCCCTCCCTGTCTGGCCCTGCCCAGCTGAGCAGGGGAGGAGTCAGAGACAAAATGCCTCAGATGCTTCTGTGACACAGATGGGACGGGGGACATGCCTTTCTTCACAAGCAGGGTTAGGAAGGGCGGATGCTTGTGGGTTCCTAAGTGAGCGTCCCACCTGGGTAGGAGCCTTCACAGGGGGAAGGCTTTTCCTGGAGCCAAAAGCTGTTTCTGTGCATCCTCAGAGCCTGTTGTCTGGAGGGCTCTAGGGAATGTTTGAGCTGCTGTTCCCTTCTGCTGGGGCTGCACTGGGCCTGTGAACAGGCTGCCCTCTGGGTTCACCCTGGCACTCGGGTGACCATGTCTAAGGTCCCCACCATGAGACCACCTCTGGGCTGGGGATACCTGGGCACTGGCCAGCTGGATTTGGGCTTATGCAGGAACATTGAGCAGCCCAGCATTCTTCAGAGAAGAGGCAGTGTCTTGTTTACTCACGTTGCTAGGGGGAGCAGAGAGCCTGGGGTGTGGCTGAGTTTAGAGGCAGATGGACCCTTGGGATTGGGAGCAGGGTCAGAAGGAGCCAACGGCTGAAATGCATAGTAGACTGTGGTTACAGGGACCTGTAAGGGTGAGCATCCCTCGCTGGTTGGTCCCTATGGGTAGCAGAGGCCTCTGTGAGGCTGGCCTGGCCCACCCATGCCCACCAGTGGAATTGTCCTGGAACTCAGCATCTGGAACTGCCCAGCCCCTGCCCCTCTTCCTCTGAGCCCTCCAGGGGCAAGGAGAGCTGGACATCTCTGCTGTCTCTGAAGTGTGACCCTGGCCATGCAGCAGGCCATCCCTGTCTTCAAAGGAAACTGACCCCCATATGGCAGGGATGGAGGGGTGTAGGCTAGGAGCCCCTATATCCAACTTGCTGTGACTCTGGCTGGGCCCAGAAAGCAGCTAAGGAGAGGCTGGCTGATGGGCTGTGTGTGGTGGCCAAGGTAGCATGCTCTCTCATTCCAGGACCGACCAGCTGGGCATGTTCACCCACAAGGAGTTTGAGCAGCTGGCCCCGGTGTTGGATGGCTTCAGCCTCATGACCTACGACTACTCCACGTCGCAGCAGTAAGTGTGGCCTTGTGTTGCTGCAGGCACAACCAGGTCTCTGAAGCTGCAGGCCCACTCCTGCCTCCCAGGCAGGCACCCTCCTGCTATGGGACCTGCTGCTTAGCATGTCCATACCCAGGAGAGGTGTCCTGTGGGGGGCCCTGTCTGGGGTGGAATAGGCATGGCCTTGCTCTTGCCTCTGTCCTCAGACCTTTGCCTGAGCCACCTGGCTCTTGGAAGACCATGTGAAGTAGTAGGAGTGACACCTGAGAGGCTGTGTATCTGCTGAGCCCTCCCTTCCTTGGTCTAGGACTGCTGCCTGGCAAGCTGGGCACTGGGAGGCTGCCTTGGGTAGGACACCCATGGGTTCTAGTGGAGGGGTCCTGAGCCATTTTGCCGTGGTCCTCTACAGCAGGGTCCGTCATTCCTGGTTCTTTCTGGGTTTTGTTTGTTTGGTACTAGGGATCGCACCCAGGGGTGCTCTACCACTGAGCTACCGGCCCTTTTCTTATTTTTTATCTTGAGACAGATTTTCGCTAAATTGCCCAGGCTGGCTTTGTGCTTGTGATCCTCCTGCCTCAGCCTCCTGGTTGCTGGGATCATAGGTGTGTGCCACTACACCCAGCTTCTTCCCAACTCTTGAGGGGCATGGGCCACAGTAAAGGGAGGATGCACTCCAAGTGGACAGCCCTGGGTCAGGTTCAAGGCTTCCTGCCTGCACTGGAACTCTCCCTGTCACCCTGCAGGCCTGGCCCTAACGCCCCGCTGTCCTGGGTTCGAGCCTGCGTCCAGGCTCTGGACCCCAAGTCCAAGTGGCGGAGCAAGATTCTCCTGGGGCTTAACTTCTATGGCATGGACTACGCAGCCTCCAAGGATGCCCGTGAGCCTGTCATTGGGGCCAGGTAAGCTCAGGACCCTCCTGATCACATCCAGGGTGTCACCAATCACAGTGGTGTGGGGTTGGAGAGGGTGGGGACTCTGGCCCCTTGGGCTCATGGGCTCTGGGGCTGATGATGTGGGCATCCTTGCACCTCAGCTCCTGCCTGGGGTGGCTACCACCTTGATGCAGTAGCCTGGGGATGCAGCCACACTGCTGTCCCTGAGTGTGTTGACCTCTCCTGACCTCAGGAGTGGGAGTGTAGGCCAAGGCTGCTAGTGTATGTGTGAAGGGCTGTCAGCTGGCCTGCGCCACGTGGACGAGGAAGACCTGCTGCTTTTCTGTCACTTCCTTCTCTGAGGGTCTCCAGTGTCTGCTGCTGTGTGGTTCTGCTGGTGTGGAGCCCAGTTCTGTCCGTCCTGGAATCCACTACCCCTGTCTCGCTTGTGGCCCCTCACTGCCACTGGGCTTTTTTTTTTTTTTTTAATCATATAATTTTATTTAGAACTTATTTTCTTTTTTTGCCACTGGTTTTTGAGCCACATGGTCTTTCGTGTCCGGATGCTCCTTGTACTTCATCTCCACTGTGCTCCCTTGGGTCCGTGCACACATGCTGCTTGTCACATGTGGAAGGTCTCGTGGTTCCTTCAGCTCTCTGGACCTCCCTTTGGCTCCTGACCCTTTGGCTCCTGACCTCAGGCACCGCCAGCGGGTGCTTGTGTCAGGGCAGTCCAGCCCAGCCGCAGCTCCTGGGCCTGGTTCCACTTCTGGGGTTCTTGCTTCGTTTCGGTTGCTCCTCCTTGCTGTGTCTGCACTGGTGGCACAGACTGCTGGTGGCTTCTTTTGCCAGGCCCACCCTGCCATTAGTTGCCTTCAGGCTTTCTTTCATTTTACATCCTCTGGGCCTCTGCTAAACTTGTGCTTGTGTGGGATTCCATTGTGATGACAGCCGGTGTCCTCCTCTGCTGATCCTGATGTTGGGTCGGCTCTGGTCAGCCTGCACGTGATCGTCTCCTTGGTCAGGGGGCTGGGGTGCAGCCCTGTGGACCCGGAGTTGGACTGGGTACCAGATGTCGCAGATGTTGCCTCTGGGAGCCGGGTGTTTGAGTGCTCCTGTGAGTCTTTGTGTTTGTTCTGGAAACAGTTTGGCTGTGCGGAGCTCATTTAGTCCACCCACATTCCTAGTGGCTCCTTCCCTGAGGATGGTTGGTGTCTGGAGACAGGTGTGGTGTCACTGCTTGCTGGGACTCTCTGCAGGGTTCCCAGGCCTGCTCTGTGTTACCCAGGGCAGTGAGCAGAGGCAGGCCATCACCCTGCCTTGAATGCTGAGGTCCTGGCTGGGCCCTTGCTCTGGTGTTTCCCTCCAGCTGGGACCAGGGGTCAGCCAGTGGCTGGACTCCCAGGTTCGGGGCATGGCAGCAGTCAGTAGAGGAGGCGGGACACCTCTCTGCGGTCTTCTGTTCCTGCTTGGAGGAGGAATGCTTGTGAGGACCACCTCACTCCCATCTCCCCTGTTGGTCCCTCTGTGGTGGACTGTCAGGGTGGATTGTGTTCCAAGGCAGTGGTGGGAAGGGGTGGTCCCACTGGGGGGCTTTTTCCCCTTCTAAACCCACACTCCCCTGTGTCCACAGGTTGGCCCTAGGGTCTGGGGTCCGGCACAGGCCTAAGCCGACTGCTGTTCTCCTGACCCCTGGGGTCTACTCTGTATCACTGAACTTGGCCAGACTCTGTAGACAGGGCAGGTCTGGCCACTGGGCAGATGGCACTGGTAACAGGAGATTGGGCAGCAGCCTGAGGCCCAGTGGCCCCACACCTACCATTTGCAGCAGGATGGAGAGAGGTCAGCCTCATAGCYGTGTCCTGTGCTGGAAGACGTGAATTTGCTGCACAGTGAGGGCTCCTCCCATTCCTCCCAGGACACCCCTAGGGCAGGCTGGTGCTGAGGTGGATCCCCGTCCCCCGCTGTCTTCTTTCTGATCAGTGTTGCTCTGTGTGTGTGTCAGGCCCTGGCATCTTCAGGAAGCCCAACCACAACACCTGCTGTGTGGGCACTTCCTCCTGCTGGGCAGGGATACCAGCTGCCCAGACATCCTCAGTGGACCACCACAAGTTTCTTCCTGGGCCTGCCAGGCTTCTCCTTGAGTGGGGCTTTGAAAGGAGGTGAGGTGTTGGCCTCGAGCTGCCATCTCTGTCCACTTGGGCTGGCATCTCCCGTTCCACTGAAGTCAGTGTTCTCGCCCTCTGGGGTCTGGGGTCCAGGTGCTGCAGGCAGGCTTCTCCCACGGCCTCTCTCCTCCCTGTCCATCAGTGTCTCCTCCCTGTGTCCTCACGTGGTCCTCTGCAAGTCTGTCCTGATGGCCTCTCCTTTTTCATTTTGATGGTACTGGGGATTGAACCAGGCCTTGCTCCCCCTAAGCTCACACCACTGAGCTGTACACCAGACTGATGTCTTCTTGGAAGGACAGTCCCATTGGATCAAGATCCATCCTAATGGCCTGCTTTTAACTTAATCACCTCTTTAAATGTTGTCTTTCCAACTGTGGATAAATTCTGAGGTAGGAGTAACCTCACAGACTCTAGAATATGATGAGCTTGGAGGCATACACTTAGCCCGAAGTGCCACCTGAGGGTGGAGAGATGATCCAGGGAGACGGACGGCCCAGCAGGAGCTGCTGGAGAGGGTTGTTACAGCCATCCTACCCCAGCTGATGGGATAGACACAGGGCACCCAGTCTGCTCAGATCACAGAAGGCATTGGTGGCTTCCTCTGGACAGTACCTGCCCTTGATTGTTCTGAGAAGGGCTGGGGGCTTTGGAGATTCAGAAATTCTGATCACAGAGGTGTATGCGTGAGTGTGGACACACAGGGCTGTGTGCATGGGTGTGTATGCACATACACAAGGATGCCCTCAGGCCTCCTGGCTTTGTGGAGGTTGGGAGGGAGGGTGCTGTTTCAGTCCCCAACCCAAAGTGCCCCTTACTAATGACCTCTGGGCTTAGGTGGTGCAGAGTGGTGGTCTAGGCATTGGGCAGTTGCTGGCCTGGACTTGGGCCCACTCAAGGGGAGCAGGTGGGCTGGGAGACGGGAAGGACGCTTTGGTCAGGGCAGCAGCACATGTGCCAGCTCAGTAAGGTGCTTCCTGCAACTATGGGATAAATGACCAGCTCAGGAGACGTGTCCTCATGTTCTCCTTGTGACTACAGTGCCAGGCAGAGTGCTGATGCTGCCCAGCTGTAACTCCCCTGAAGGACACACTGCAGAGGGTGTGCCCCCACTTCAGTCTTGGCCTGTGCATCCGTCCTGCAGAGAAGGCTTCAGGGGACACAGGCAGATACGGCAGGCACTGCTGCCTGCAGGCGTTGGGAACCTGACCACCGCCAGGAGCTCCTTTTGTAGGAGTTTCCTGGCTCACTGCTGGAGTCCCCTCTAAGGACCCCACAGGTCTAAGGAGAATGTTCTTCCTCACCTCTGGATGGCCTGTGACCACCCGCACCCTTGCCCACACCTCCTCTCTTTTGTCCTTCCAGGCCCTCATGGTCTTGTTCCAGCCTGATGGCATCCCCCTCAACAGCTCAGCCCAAGGACTCACTGGCCGTTTAGTGCACAGGATCAGACAGACCTCCTGTCCTGGGGTGTCCTGGGGGGGGTCCTCCTCTCCAGCCCCCACAGCTGGGCTTGCTCCTCCCCCTGCCCTTCTGGAGCAGCTTCACAGCCTGGCACTTCCTCTGGCTCCTGTCTAGCTCTGGTGGCTGCAGTGCTATACCAGCTCAGAGCCTTCCCTCCCCTCTGTCCTCTCCTGCTGCTGGCACCAAGACCATGTTCCTCAGTGAAGTCCCCCTTGTCCACTGCAGTAGCCCAGGCAGGGCAGGGAGACATCTTTAGCCCACCCTCCTCCCTGCAAGGCCAAGTACTGTCTAGCAACACTGCTCACCAGGCCCCCACCCAGGCGTGACTTTCCCAGAGTGGAAAGCCCTTCATCCGGCCTCTGTCACCTTCCTTCAAGATGTCTGTAGATAGGCACTGTGGTACGTGCCCGTAATCCCAGCAGCCTCAGGAGCCTCAGTTTAAAGCCAGCCTCAGCAACTTAATGTGACTCTGTCTCTAGATAAAATATAAAAAGGACTGGGGATGTGGTTAAGCGTCCCTGGGTTCAGTCCCTGGCTAGAAAAAAAAAAGAATGTCTGCGAGGCAGATAGCAGGACGAGACAAATCCAGTGCATGTGACCCTGTCCCTACCACAGTGACTCAGTGGATCTGGGCGTTTCTTCTTCCCATTCTTGCTGGTCTTTTACTCTGAGAACATTCAACCATAAAAGCCTTGGACACGTGACAGATTCCCCCACTGCCTCCCAGGAGCTCACCCCCTTGTCCTGTGGGTACGTTCCTGGGCTTCTGCACATTCTACTTACTGTGTCCTCCCAAAGCCAGTGATATGGATGAGATGCCCTCCACACCGTCCCCTCAGTGTTTGTAGCCCATGAGTGGGCGTTCTGGGCTTAGTTGGCCTCCTCTAACCAGTTAGAGGCCTTGGGCATGTCCTTTGCCAGACAGGTGGAGGGTTGGGCCAGTCATCATGCATCTGTGGGTGTCCCTTAGGTCATCCCGTCTCTGGAGCAGGACAGTGAGCCATGGGGTTTCCTCTTGGGATACTGCTGGACCTCACACTTCAGACATAAGGGCTTGGCTTCTGCTAAGAAGGGCTGTCAGGCCTGAGGAGTTGTTTAAACCTGTGAAACCAAGGGCATCTGAACCAAGGTTTTGCACTCTACAGGGTGAGATTGGGGCGTGGCTGTTGTTGGCCCCTTCCCCCTGGGAGAAGACCTGGGCCTGTGAATGGGGAGGGTCTCAACAGCACCCACCAGCAGCTCTGGGCTGGCTCCAGAGTCCTGTGCTCACTCCTAAGCCTAAACAGGCCCTGGACGAGGGTGCGTAGTAGGGCTCTTCCACAAGGCATCCTCAGGCCCAGCCCTGCAGGCTCAGGTAGTGGTCACCCACTGCCATCACTCTGCCCACAGGCCTTCGTG